TATCCTTCTGGGCTCAGCTCCAAGTGGGGAAAAAGACAGTGGAAACATGGAGGCTGTTTGGAAAGATGGTTTAATGGTGGACAGGACCACATGGCCTGGAGCTCCAAAGTGAAAAGGATGACCACATGCTTCAAGGTGAAAAGAGAAGAGCCGAGATGCTGAGAGTACCTGGTTTTATATCCTCTGTTGAGATTTGAATTGGAGCTTGTATTCTGATTGGTTGTCAGACTCCCATGGGGCCATGCAGGGGCAACTCTGTAGGCTGTCCTGAGTTCCAGGCTTGGTTGAGCCTTGGTGGATGATGATGTAATGAAAAGGGCTTTGGGCAATTGCTATAGCTTTACCAGGAGATCTTTATCATGTAAAATATTTCATATACTTTGTTTAGAGAGCCAGTTTGGTGTGATGGTTAAGGTACTAACTAGGCTAGAAACCCAATAACTGAGTTCCAGTCCAGACAAAAAGGTAGCAGGGTGATCTTGAGCCAGTCACTCTCTTTCAGCCCTAGGAAGAAGGACAAACCAAGACAAATTCCTTGTGTGTCCAATCCCACGTGTCCAATAAAAGAATTCTATTCTATTCTATTCTATTCTATTCTATTCTATTCTATTCTATTCTATTCTATTCTATTCTATTCTATTCTATTCTGAAAAACCTTGCCAAGAAAACTGCAGGGACTTGTCCAGGCAGGCTCTGAGAACCAGACAGAGTTGAACAGATGAAAGAAACTTGTTTCATTTTCATATAATCTCTGCAAGAACCCTCTAAGTATGCAGAACATGGTGATTCCACTTATCGGGGCTTTGAGAAAAGCGGCGTTTCCTTCCGCTATTCCAACATTTCTCCTGTTTTTATGAAGAAACAGGTCCATCCATTTGCAGAAAACAATTAATCCCTGCTTTCTCTCACACACAGAAAAAGGATCTCCCGCGAGAAGGCAGGGCAGGATTGTTCCCACCTGATCCTGCAGGGCAGGAGCAGCTTCTGCAGGGGGAATCCCAAAAGCCAGCATGGAGATTACAAACAAAAGGCCAGTCTCTTTTGTACCTGTGTGAACGCGGCAGGTGCATATTAGAGGGGTGGGGCTTCACTCATTCTTGACTTTTTGACACATTCCCATAGATGCTGTTGCACACCGCTATTTATCAAATGTGAACTGCAAATTTCAACTCGCTGTCTCCCTCCTGCATAAAGTGCCTTGAGAGAAGAGGTTTGTGGGTTGGATAGATCTGAAACTTCCTATCTGCTACTTTTTATTCTCCTTCGGATTTTCTGAATGTTTGCTTATCTTTACTGCTGAATATATCAGAGCTTCTGATATTATACAAAAGAAATCTGGGTGAATAAATACCATCAACATTTGGCGCTTTTTTTCTTTTATTTCTTAAAACAAAATCATCCAAAATACTCTGTGAAAAAGTAATCACACAACCCCCTCCTCCATTTTTAACCAGCTTTTGCTGTAATAATTGCTGTCAAAATGATTCTTGTAATTGGCAGTCTCATATCATCATCATGTAGTAATTTTGGGCTATTCCTCTACAGCAAATTCCCTTGACTAGTTGACTGAGTTATATTTGGGGCAGTTGCAGCATTTCAAGTTTTGCCACATTTTTGTATGGTGACTCTAGCCATTCCAAAACACTAAATTGGTTCTTCTTCAGTTTTCTTGTAGACCTGCTAGGACCATGAACTTGCTACACGACCTGGTTTACTTCAGCTTCAGTTCTTCTTTTGCAGAATTCTCTGATGCAAAGCAGAATTCATGTTTCCTTCAATGACGGAAAATCATCCACTTCCTGAAGTAGCAAAGCAAAACCCACGACACCAGAGGTGCTTATTGCGGAGGGCAGGTTTTGATTTGGGCCACTATTGTGGTTATGTGGACTAGAAATTTGGGATAAGCGATGTTTTTTCTTAATAGGCAATGGTTTCTGCTGTTACTACATTTTCATGACATTTTTATCTAGGTCCTTTTGGATGGTGAAGTCATGAATAATTAACCAGTTTAACTAAAGTAAGACATCTGCAAATAAAACTCCGGCTGTCATTCTGAGATTGTTTATGCAGTCTTGGAGTGATTTCGTCAAGACAGGCATTTTTAATAAAGTTCATTATTGATCCAGAACTTTTTCAAGACCATGTCTTTTACCAGGGAAGCCTGGACCTTTAAAAATATTCATCAATTTGGGGTGGGCTTCAAATGTTTTAGCAATGGGTTCTGTGTCTGGTTGCTGGGTGGGCATGGCCATGGTGGGAGTGGCTTAGTCAGCCTCTTGCACCACAGCAGGGGAGGGGGCATTTTTGCCCTCCTTGGGCTCCGGAGGCTTTCCTCGAGCCTCCACAGAGGCGAAAGCAGCCTCCCTGGGCTCCGGAGGCTCTCTGGAAGCCAGAAACAGGCCCATTTCCGGCCTTCCCGAACTTCCAGGCCTGTTTTTTGCCCTCCCTGAATCTCTGCGTGCACCCTGCACATACCTGCATCCAAAACGGGCCATGTTGATACTCCTGGGAGGGGTGGGGTGGGGCCAGACAGGAGTGGAATTTGGGGGTTCTCCAAATTGTGCAGAATCTTAGCTAGGGGCTCTCCCAAAGCCCCGTGAACCCCCAGCAGCCCACCCCTGCCTCCATTTCTTTTGAGGGGCAGATGATGTGCCTCTATAATCTTATGTAGTGAGAATTTCACTGTGACGACAGCAAAACTATGTGATGTTTGTAAACTTGTTTAAGTTCTCAGATAACTAGCCGTGCTGAACTTTGAGAGAGCTGATTGCTTTTTCACATTGATAAATCATGCTTTTTATCTGAAATAAATGAAATAAGCAGCAATCTTTGGTATTCTTCACTCTGTCTGTCTTTATATATCAACCGGCTCTGATAACATCTGCTAGCCAAGATATGCAAAACTTAAGAAAATTCAAGGATGAATACATTTCTACAGTACTATTTATGGTCAACATTATTTACATTTTGTAGATGAAGCGCTTTAGCAAGTATGACTTAATCAGGTTACTCCATGCAGGGTTAATATTAAACTCAGACAATTTTCTGTATTAATTTATTAACCGCCATTCCACCAACTTTATAGGGGAAACACACCAGGGTTCATTTTATGCACGAGCAGGATAACCCTTGTGGGTTAACTTTAGTGTTGGGCCATGCTCTGTCATGAGTCAGGCATAGTGCATTAGATTTTCTTGCAACTCGTATAATGCTGTTCAACAATCTTCTTTGGCCTTCTGAACCCCCATTCCGCATGCTGGCCCTAAAAGGCGGAACTTGAGTTCTACTAAAAAAGAAACAGAATCCCACCCCCGTCTTGATTTGAGTAGGTGAATCAAATATACTTCCTACGGAACTTCTTAAGAATCTGGATGCTTACTTTCATTTCATGTCTGTGTAGGACACACAACTCTTATTGATTCCATCCAACAGGATTGTAACACTACACTTTGCAGTTGGCAAAGGTAGCCGAATTAAAAATGGGGTGAGAGTGTGAGGAATATGATATAACCCTACCTCCCTTGCTATATATATATATATACGCAAAATATCACTCACGCAAAATCACAGAATCTCCAGAACCGTACACCCTACAAACTTGAAATTTGGCACGTATGTTCCTCTTAGCTTCTAGGTGCTCACTAAGAAAGGATTTTTCGAAATGACCATCAGAGCATTAGTATTTCCTCTATTATTAACACACTCTGATGCTAAGGAGTTCTACTCCCCCTCTCCACCTGAAAAGAAATCTGTTCCAAATGCAAAACACAAGCAGAGAGGTGTTTCAGTTTCAGAGCACAAAGCAGCTTTAGTACAGAACAGTTGAGCTAAGCCACACCCAGGCTCCTTGCTGTCTCCTTGCTCACACAGCAAATACTGTTTCAGTTTCCAAACAGCCCTCAACTCTCACACACTGACAGGATGCTATCCAGATGAAGAGCGATGAGCACTGGTAGGCAGAGGCAGAATTTTCCCCCCTTGTTTTCCTCCCCTAAAACTAAGCCCAACCACATAGTTTTGTAGTGAAGCATAGGTATCGAGATACTTTTATCAGTAAGAAATTGGTGCCTGGAATTTCCTGCTTCTACTGCAGTTAACAACACAACAGGTCACATGACTATGCATGACGACACTGAATACCATAATTTCTACATGATAGTGGAAGCAAGGATGGGGAAAAATATGAAGTCAATGATGTTGAGTTAAATTAGATTGATTTTTTTTAAATTTTCCATACTATTTCTCTCCTTTGTTTTCTGTAATTTGTATAACCCTGCTTACCTAAAAATGCTTTATTTTTCACCGGTCAACATAGTAGCTGCCACTGAAGAGTATCCAGAAGCTTTAGCTGGTACAGAATGTGGCCGTGCAGGCTGTTATGTTTGCTTCTGGGGCAGTCTATGTTATGCCTTTACTCTAAGAGCTACATTAGTTGACTGTTTGCTTCCAGCTTCAACTCAATGTGTTTTTAACCCTTTAAAGCCTTTATAGGCATGTGAGGAACCGTCTCTCCTTGCTTACAACAGCCTGCCTTGTTAGACTTTCCACAGAACACATGCAGGGGGTGAGAGGAGGGGTTGTTGGCTAGGCAGGGGATCTACTTTCTTTACTGTGGCGCCCACCTTATTGAACATCCTTCCACCTGGAATTAGTTTGGTTCCATCTCTTGATCTACTTTCTTTACTGTGGTGCCCACCTTATTGAACATCCTTCCACCTGGAATTAGTTTGGTTCCATCTCTTGATATTTTTTTTGTGAAGCCCTACTTATGTTGGCAGGCATGGGACTCCCAGAGAATTCAAGATCTGTCCTGATGACGCCATTGCTGAGGGGGGATATATTTTATCCCTTCTCCATCAAGGTATTTTTGTTTTTGTGTTTATTTATTACTGTGACTTTTGGATTTCTTATCTGTTTTATATTGGCTGTTTTATTTAATACTGTACACCAACCAAGGTCCTTTTGAGGGAGATGGGCAGCTATAGAAATCTGATTACTAAAAAAAATGTAAACATTTGTTAATATGTTTTTCTTCTATCGTAGTGGTAATACTGGGAAGAAACTGGATAAAATATATTATAAATAACTGTATTTCTGAGGAAAAAGGAGGGAGACTAACATCTAAAATGAACTGAGTTGACTATTCTTGAAATATGATGTATCCGTGCAATAACCCTGACTAGTTTGTTTCCCCATACAATAGCGCTAATAATCAATAGGAGAGCAATGAAACTTGCAAATAGCTAGAGATCTGTCAAAAAAATGGTGGTCATGTTATAATTTGGTCAGTGCAGGACAAACACACAAGAGGTTCAGTTGAAGACAGCAGGTCAATGGAGCAAGTCCCACATGGTTCTTCATCGCAGAAGGGACCACTTGATCTGTTCCTTTGCTGACTGCAGTACCTGCAAAAAAAAAAAAGATAAAACATTGGTGGTGATATGAAATTCTCACACAACTGTCCACCCACACAACTCTTTTACAGAAAAATATCCCAAAAGAGGTGTTTGTAACACAGAGGCATAAACTTAAGCTGAGAAGGGCAAATCTAGTATCTAGGCACATTCAGAGTCCTAAATAAAATAATAACATGGGAGTCCCCTCTGTCAAAACCACAACGGACTGATGAAGATATTTTGTGGGGTTTCAAATTCTGTAATCCTATTTCCCAGTTATAACAACTTTGTTCATCCACAGTGGGACAGCATCAGATGGAAGAGGGCTGTTCAACAAGTCTAAAAATCCAAAGTTTGGATAATTGAAATGAAAGCGAAGACCAGTCGTGCATTCAGTTCTGCATCATCATGCTTCAAACCTCGCATTTGTGTGATGCAACTGCCCTCATGTCCCTAGGAGGTTAGAGGCACACTGTCTATCAATGTCTTCAAGTGTAAATTCAAGCAAGGTTCACTGGAAATAAGAGTCAAGGGCAGCAAGGCACGTGGAAAGGGGATATAAAGTAAAACAGAAAATCTGACCAGAAGACATACCTGTGAGACTGTCTGTTCTGTGAGAGGGACATCCTCCCCCTAAAATAGGAAGAAGGAACTCTGTTTGGTGGCATGCAGAATATCTCATTGACCTTTCTGAAAAATAGATCTGATGGACTCTCCTGCTTTTCTGTTCCCAAATCAGGGACTACAATTTGCCACTTAGGCCAACTGCTTATCAAGAGTGCATCCTTTCTCTTCCCTGCCTGCCTTCACAACAGCCCACTTGCAAACAATCCCAGATAAAAGATTGCGACATCTTTTCATCTGTTGCAAACACAAGCTAAATAAACTGTTGCTTCTGTCAGCCAATGGGTCAGGAAGCTCCTGCCTACCGGACAGGCTGTCAAGAAAGAAAAGGTCAGATAAGGCTCACTTACACGTACAGCAACCCTATGTAGCACTTGCTGGGGATCACTCTCCAAAATCACCCTATAAGAGAGAAAGAAGTAACTGTTCACCAAATTGAACTACATTCTCGGATAGCTCTTAGAAAGGGGGGGGGGGGGTAGCAAGAGTAACAAAGACTGATATTTCCCCAAACAACCCAAGGAGTGTTTTACTGTTTGGGAATGCATATTTTTGTCCAGAGATATGCACAAGATCCAGGTACAAGTAAACCCAAATTTGAGCACTAGATCCATATGCAGGTAAACCCAAGTTGGAGCATGAACACATTTTCTAAAGACATTGGACTCACCCCCCATCCACAATTTCATCCACCGCCAGGAAAAGGCCTTCCATGTTCTCTAGCAGACCTCGCTTCTCCACGTTCTTTCTGCAAGAGATGCCAAACACGACTGAGCGTGGAACCAGGCACTGCGAGCCACTTTAGTCTCTTAAAAGTTTCTAAGGATCGGGACCTGGTTCAAAACTGAAATGCCCTCCCCCCACACACACACCCTTTAAGACGCTGGTGTTTCTCAGCCAGGGATATGGTACCATTGGAAGCAAACAAGTTATCTAGATGGAAGGCAACTCCTCCCACCCCAAAATATTAAAAAAAAAGCTTATATGATAGAGGAAAAGCAGAGTGGGAGAGCAGAGCAACCACTGTCCAATTTGAGTATGCTGAGGCAAACAGAACTAAGTCACTCTAGATCAGGGGTCTCATTTTCGCGGCCCGCAGGCCAATTGCGGCCCGCAGGACGATATCCTGTGGCCCCCACCGTGATATGAAAGTATAATATTAGTGTATAATATAAATATAAAGTATAATATAAAGTATAATATTATGCGGCCCAGCCTCACCCAGACTCTGCCTCCAGCGGCCCCCAGGTAAACTGTGTTTGAGACCCCTGCTCTAGGTGAAGCAACCAGTAGTTTGAAGCCCCTGCTTTCCCACCCCCTGAAAACCCTACATCACGGGTGTCAAACTCAATTGTGTCACATGACATATCGCAACGGGGTTTTTTTTTGCCTTTCCGGAGCCAGGGTGGGTGTGGCATGTGCGTGATTAGTTTGGCCGGCGGGCTGCCAGTTTGACACCCCTGCCCTACACAGTAGACCTGCCAATTCTCAAACATGCAAGTCCCACAGATGGACTCCAATTATTAATACGTAGCAAGAATACATCCCGAGAGGATTATCTAATCAAAATCTGGTTATGTCTGAGAAAGAAAACCAGTCTTCTCTAATGAGTTCCCCATACACATCCTGCACCTCAGCTTCCATACACCATAGCTATAGCCGATGAAGAGCTTCTTACCGCAACATCTGACTGAGTGAGTCGAAGAGGCAGTTGAGCACAGCCATGAGCATCAGCTGCAAAGGAAAAAGCACATCCATATGATCAACATAAATGCATACACAATGACCCGAAGGCTACATTCATTTTGGAACGTTTGGAGGTTTTTTTCCCCAGAAAAAAAATGATGTTTTGCTACAAGTCACTAGGGACCATGGTGTGCCAGAATTATGCATCTGTGTTATGTGCCATTAGTCCTTTCTCTTAAATATAGATGAGGTTCCCAGTTTAAAATGGAATAAGAGAGGGTAATGATTCAATCTTGCCACAATGTTCTATCCAAGGTCAACAATGCCAGTATTTTGCAGTTTGCAGTCAGTTTTTACACAGCTTAAGGTTGCCACCATATAACAATGACGGCAATGTTTTCTTCATATGAAAGTCAGCAGGATTGAAACTAGAGGTGCTACTGCAAACAGCTGCTTTGCTGTTCCTAGAATAACATACCTCATTTTCATAGGAGCTGCCGATAACATAAAAATACAGGTCAATGCTGCTCTTATAAACAACAGTCAGGCCTTCTAAGAGGGCAATTTCACCTGGAACAAGAGAAGGTGGGAGGTAGACAAATACAACTAAGCTATATTTCCAATCCCGAGTAACGATAATATTCTGATACAGTATAGCTACCCTTAAATTTCAAGAAAATGTTGCCCCAGAGTTAATGCAAGCCTTTTGAAGGATCTACACCAGGGCTGTCAAACTCGCGGTCCGCAGGCCAGATGCGTCACGTGCTAGCCCGGCACCCACCTGGTTTAGCAAAGGGGAAAAAAGTCCCGATATATCAAATGATGCCGCCGTGACGCCGTGAGTTACACTAATGTAGAAACAACTGGCTCTTGCTTTAAAAAAATGTTTAAACTGGACTGCTATAATAACCTATCAATACTTACATTCATACCGATTTGCAATTAGTGTTACATAAAGCAGTTATGTGTTACAGGGTGCAGCATGAATCCACATGCCTGCATTAGCTCACCATGCACAAATATATAGGGTGCTTCTCAGGCAATAAGACATTTGAAAAGAATATCATATTATAGTCATGTAATATGAGTTTTTGATTTTATGTAATAGGAGGGGGCATCAAACAGAAAATTTGTATCAAAATTGAATCTTGAATGTGTTGGTTGTTCGCTCAAAACAAAATCCAGAGATGGTTTTAGGAGATAGGTAGGGCAATGCTGGTGAACCTCACTTTTCTCAAGAATTTTACTTAGGAAAATTGTAGGCTCGTGGAATTCAAAGGAGACGTTTAAGCCTGATACATAAATGTACTATGCATGGACCACTATCCAATTGACTGGTTCTATTGTAACACTGTCTTTACTCCATTTTCCTAACATTCAACCCAAATGTGCTTTCTGTAACAAGACCACTATTCTGTGTCTTGCACTCTAAGACAATGGAAAGCACATCTTCATTTTCTTCTAGGTCTTCTGCTTTCCAGAATTTAAAGAATACTGGCATCTTTTCCCTCACACTCAGTTTTTCATAGCTAAACATTCTCAGTCTCCTCAATCTCTTCTCATAAGAGAGCTAAATGGACTGCTTACCCTTGATGTAAAAAAAAAAAATTATCCTAAAACTGATATGTAGATTAAAAATAACTTGGGAACTTTTAAAGAACAACATTCTTTAAAATGTTCTTAAAACTTTCTTGCACTCATTAATTCTGGTTTTTCCCCACTGGTATAGATATGGCCTTTGGGACGTATTAACAAATATTGAAAGATAATTAAATCATCATCCATGGAAAACCTACTATCTGTCCGGTGGGTCTTGCTGAAAATATTCTTCTCAAAAGCCTTCTGCTCCTTGACGGTGGGATAGGTGTCATCGTAATACTAGTACAGGAAAAGAAATGCTGATTAGCTGAGAGGCAAGAAAAGAAAACAAGTGGTCAAGATTCAAATGAGACATACAATCATGCTAAAGGCAACTTCGTGTACTAAAATCAGGAACAGAGGATCCTGTAAGATATGGCCGGACCACCATTTCCAGTAAACATGCTAGTTGGGAGTTAATGCAAATTATGAACTCAAGAATATTGAGAGGGCCAATGAGTTCCTCATGTCTCATTTAATTACACAGTCTGCCACATCTTTAAGGTGTGGAAGGGTATTCTAAGTTTCTTTTCCATCATAATAAATCTGACAGGCACCTCTCCCTGTTTTCTACAAATGGGGAACTGAGGCAAATATAAAGCATTTGAATCTGGGTAGGATTCCTACCCAAATCAAATGTAGCTGCAGAAACACTTTTCCTTGGCCTTTGAGATAGTACACTGGGGCAGAAAAAGATGTGATAGCTTCATTAAAAAAGAAAAAGAGAAGAAACAATTCTACATCAGAAATTTTTCAATAGATACAGATTTGGGGAATGGGGAAGCAATGCAGGCAAACCTTAGAGCTGCAGTTTGAGTTCTTCTTAAAACTTTGAACTTTTCCATTCTTTACAGGCCCCATGACTTACCTTAGCAAAAAGACGGTCTCCATCATTATCTAAGATCAGAATGGCTTTCACTGTGTAGAGAGATGGCTCCTGAAAAAAAAAAGATACACATTCACTGTTCCATTCAATTAACGCCAAGGGCAACTCGTTCTTTTTAACCAAGAGTGTGGTGTAGAGATGCATAGTATCACCATCATAGTTGTCACACTGAACAAAACTACAGTATGTAGATGCTGAGGTGAAATGAAATCTATATTCTGTCCCAAATTTTATTCAGCTATTGTGATAGTAATGAGTTAAACAAATTAAAACCATAGGAAGGGAAAAAACGTCTGAAACTTCCATACTGACCACTGTGGATTTGATTCCAAGGTTTATAGTTCTATATACCATACGTGTTTTCAAACTTCACATAGCCCTTCACAAGGACTAGTAACTTCATTTCTTTCTCTCTAAGATGATGAATTGTTGGTGATCAAATGGCATTTTTGTCTGCTACCATTTTAAAATGTGAAGAACACATATAGCTTTTACTGATGGAAGAAATATGTCACAATATATTATTCCAGGTCTGCATATCTTACAGTCTATTCAGTCTAATACAGTCACTTGGTAACTTATGGCAGCCCATTCAGTAACAGTTGCTGGGAGTTAGGCACGTATAAATTTAAATGCTGCTGCTGCTACTGCTACTACTTCTACTTCTACTAATAATAATAATAGCTGTTGCAAGGACATCCCACAGTCTGATTACAAAAAACAAAGGCAAACCATGGTACAAAAGCAATGGTACATTGAAATATTTACAAGAAATACCATTTGCCTACACGTAAGAATTGATGGGATTATAAAATAAACAGTAGAAAATGAAGACGCCAAAGTGCTCTGGGACTTTAGAATTCAGACAGACAAACACTTGCCATTCAACACCGTTAACAATTGTTGATAAGGAAAAAAAAAACTCTGGACAGTGGATGCTGCAGTACCTGGAGATAGCAGAAGAGAAACAACTGGAGAAAATCACAAACTATAAAGATCTGCAGATAGAACAACTGTGTCAAAAGAAAGCAAAGGTAGAATCAATAGTCATAGATGCCTTAAGTGTAATCTGAAAACATGTGAAACATCACATGAATGCACTTGGCATTGACAAAATCATCATCAGTCAATTGCAAAAGGCAGCTTTATTTGGAAGCACTTATGTCCTGTGACGATATCTTTTACACCATCAAACAATAACATCTGTCTAACACAGGTCCTTGGGGAAAGATTCAATAGGTGGGTAAAAACGCCTTCCAATCTAAACCTCTGGTTGACTGTGTGACCAAACATAATGTAATAATTAGGGGATGTGGGATGTTTCAACCGCATCAGACAGTTGAAGAAGAAAAGTTGAAGAAGAAAAAAGGGCACTGGAAAATTCTCTGAAGGACTGCCAAGAAGATGCAGTGAAGCTTGGACATCGTGAGGGCTTACTGCATATTAAAGAGGTCAAACAGAACTCTAAGAAACTCCAAATGAAGAACAAAAAACAGACATACATGGCAAAGAAAAGTATTAGTCGATGTATTCCTCCAGAATACAGACTTGCCTTGCCTTAATGGAGTACTATATTATGTATTCGTCTTTCCCATATCACCTTTTGGGGATTTTTGCCCAGTAAACCATCTATCTTGAACTGGATTTTACACTGGAGATAGAAATACTGTCCCTCCCTCCTTTCTCTCTATTTCTCTCAAGAATCTCCTAATAATTGCAAAGAAGAAAGGATTTCCGCTGTACCTGCAAAATGTTCACCTTTTAAGAAGTTCTTGGAGCCTAAGCCTTTTTTATGAGAGAAGTAGTAAGACAAGACCATAAATTTTGCCGGTTGCTCCTTGACTAAAAACAAGCAAAAGTACTGCTCTCAATTCAAAAGCAGAACTAAATGTGGTTCAGTCGAATATCAGCTTGTCAGAGCTATGACCGGTAATAGCTTCCACCGTAAGTTATGCAACATAAAACTTTCCAGTCCAACACTGACCTAGTCAAAATTACAGGAAACATGGACTGCTTTCTTGCCATATTTAGAGCTCAATGAGATATTCTAACAGGATTCAAACAGGAGGACTGTAGCTGGAGCACATCCTCTGCCTAAAGAACTCAAGACAAAATTCCTGATGAGTTTCAAGATAGGCTTAATTAAAAATCCTATCAAACATCAACAGTTGGCCTTGATATAAACCAGCTTCCCAAATTCCTAACAGCCTCCTGAGGTGAAGCTGGAGAGAGAAAGGGCCAGAGGAGAGCCATTTCCCCCCTGATGGATGCTGAAAAGCTCTCGAGACAAAGTTCTGTGATGCACTGACTTCCATGTAGCCACAGTCAAAGTGTATAACAGAACTTCACCTCAAGCGCTACAACAGGACCTCTCTGGGAGCGGAAGACCATCTGTAGAATAGACCTTCACACAGCTATGTCAACCTTGACACCGAGCTTAAGCCAGATTCCAAATTCTGAGCCACTGTGCTACTAATATAGTTAAAGGCCAAGGAAGCGGGGAGAATGCTTTTTCCTAAGTTTTATGAAACAAGGATTCCTGATAACTGTGGAAGTGGGCAACACTATTCTTCTTAAAATTAAGCCTGAAGCCATCACAAAACAAAGTCTAGAATTCAAAACAAGTAATAATCAAGTTTCTTGTAAATAATAACCTTTTGCAGAGCAACCTACCTGTATTTCATGGTATTCCATAACACGCTGAATATTATCTCTAGTCCTATAGTGCCTGCAGTTCTGCTTGTACGGGACCCAGATTTGTTACTAAGCAACCCAAAGAACTAGAACTTAGAAATTGTTACAGGGCATATGAAGCTGGGAATACTCAACACTTCTCAATGCAGAGGCTTTTTATTATCTAGGGAATTCTGTGAATTCTACAATTACTGGGGGCTCTTAGATCAGAAGACGAATAAATCAGCCATGTTGGATGACTTATTGCTATCGTGTATATCATATTGTCCAAACTATATTTTCAAGTCACCCAAAGTAATATTGAGAACAACTTGAGAGGCTAACTTCTTTGTCCATTGAACACACACTCTCATGCAAGATTTTCCAGAATAATTTGCTATAAACAAACGGGATGAAAGGACTGGGATTGCAAGAGTTTTCTATTTGAAGAGGGAAACATGAAGAAATTGCCAGTTTCCATAGGAAGGTGGAGAAGTTTTAATTCAGGACTCCTCTGTGAAAAGAGAAAATTCAAATATTTTTTCCAACTCTCTTCATTCCTCTTCACACATGCACAAATTCATTTCACAAACATAGGAGGCAGAAGTGTTATAGGAATTTTCCTCCCTTTCTATAATATTTCACTTTATCTGCATAGATCTTAATCTGAGATTCCTGTTTTGCAGCAAGATGAGGCATCTGAATTCTGCACTGAGGCTCTTAGAAACTGCAAGCACAACAGCACAAATATCTAAAGCTAGGCAACCAATGACTAGTATAAATATATCGGAGAAATATTCAGTTACCTGACCTAATCCACACTGAATGCTGCCACAAATATGGACAAATGACTGGAACTCACATTTGTTTTATTTCCAGGAAGAGAAAAACAGATGCTCACCATATATGTATCAGAGTAGAATTTATACATCTCTTTAGTAAAGAGACTAGTTTATATTGGACAGAAAACAATTAAACAATGTTTAAATCTATAATGAGCATTAACTGGAAGGCCACAAGTGGCATATTTTTTCCTCTGAAGCCTTCCAATTCAAGCCGAAGGCTGCCTTGAGCAATCAACCATTTGAACAAGACATTAAGAGTTACTGCACAGTTTATTCTGATCATTTAATTCTGAAGTTTCAATAAATTAAAGTTCAGTCAATTAAACTAGGTGTGCAGTGGCCCAGATGGTCAGCACGATAGCAGCAGTACTGCCATAAAGATTTTACAGCTGCCAGGATCCCTGAGGAAGGAGAGTGATTGGAAAGGGAGAGAAGGTGGGAAGAATTATATATGTGTTTGTTTTATTTGCAAAAGACATTTGGAAAGCTGCATGGAGGAAGCAGAGCTATTTCCACTGAAGCTTACAGAAAGCCAATATAGCCCACATGCAAGGTAATGAAAAAATGAGAAAAGATACTGTTAGAATCAAATGGGCCCAACTCATACCTTTTTCAAGTTAAGTAATCAATATGAAAAGTGGCACATTTTCAAAAGCAAAATAAACTACTTGCATCCCCCCCGCAACACTTTCAATGCTGCCATTCATAAGAGACTCAAAAGTTAAATCTCTTCTGCTGTAGATGATGGTGTTTGGCCATTTTTTTTCTATCTAAACTGCGGTTAGTTAGATTCAAGAAAAGTCTAATCTTGTTCTGTAATCGCCCATGATATTCATAGCCCTAAAGCCATTCGGAGCCATTATAGAATTCATCAGATTAGGGAAAATTGTTTTATAAATCCTCCCACTTTTGAGAATGTGAACAATTTACTTTGATAAGTATTATAAAGGATTTTTGGAGTGGATGCTGTTATGCAATAAGCTTTATAATCCAACTTCATGTGACTGATACTCAGAAATAATTCCTGCTGAGATCCATCTCAAATGCATGGAATGTAGGTTTATAGCTTTATTAACTTTTGATAATATAAAATTGTTGTTTTGTGTGCTTCATATTTTGTCTTGCCATACGCTCTGATCTGCATTATTAGAAATGGAAGGTGGGGAGAAATGGCAACTTTTATTTTATTGAAGAAATATATTCTACTATGTTCCCATTATCAATATTGCTTAAGGCAGCTTACAATATGAAAATGAATGGTAAAATATAAAGAGTAACACATAAAAGTCAATCAGATACATATATTCTAAAAAAATGCAGCATGCATCTATTAATCCCTCTGTGAATAGCTTAAAAGTTCATCGCATGAGTGAATAAAAATCTATTCGTTTATCAAAATAGACAAGTGATTTAGTTAAACTGCCTTGTCTTGGCCAAGAGATTCAGATCTGTCAGCCACAAAGCCACCTTTCACATTCCTAGTAAACATGTCTCAGATGATGCAAAAAAGGACCTCTTCTGAACATATTAATA